TCTGGCAAGAAGTACTTCAGATTCTACCATGTACCCTGTGAAGAAATTCCGAGCCAGTTTTCCTGTGACAGTTAAATGCCATTTGCATTTAAGTGTTTGTGTTCCATTTGAAGAAGAAAAACATCCTTACTTTACACACTTGAGGGCATTTCTGACAAAAGTCTTGGGTACAGGAGCTCCAAGAAAACTGTCAAAATGTTGCAAYGGCATTCATGCATTCTTTTTTCACTGAACTAAACCCTGCAATTTAAAGAGGAAAAGAGGAATTTGGAGTTTCCTTTGATAATTCAAATTAATCAGAATGAAGTCTTCCAAAAGGCCATCAAGGACTGACTCTATCTCTCCTTTTTTTGTCTCTCTATTCTCAGACTAATTTGTGGGATTTTCTACATAGATGTTTCGATGGCCAATATATATACAATCGTTTGTCCCAGACGCTGTTAAATCAGTATATAATTTATTTGCCAATAGCATTGTGCAAATCTATGGGTTTTACCTTTACCTTTTACCTTTGCACTTAGAACAGGAAGTGGGAACACCTGTAAGCCCTCCAAATACTTTTAATACCTTTAGGCAGTTTTATTTGGACAGATGCCTTATTTTATTACCTTTCTTGAAATACAAACTGAATAACAGTTTGTGCTGAATAACATTCTGTCTGAGGTGGTTTTTTTTTTTTTTTTTTTCTTCTATCAGTTTCCTGAGCAGCTGCTAGGCATTTTCTTCTTAATATGATCTGGGATTCTCTGCTGCCAGTAGATAGAAGCTGAATGTAAATTCTTTCCCCTCCCCCCAGAAGCTCAAATGCAAATAAAGGGTCTGTCAGCATAACGAACAGATGCCTTTTGTCATAACCAAGTACAGAAATCAATAATGCAGTACAAAAGCTGTTTGAAGGTAAAATGACAAATCTAACAAAAATCTGAGATACTTATTCAGCAGCTTGCCAATTTTCTGCATTCTCTTTCATCTGAATGGTAAAAATAATCTGTGTTGGGGTGAAATTTATAACAAGTTAATAGTAAGAAATTTCATGTACTTGCAAAGAAATAAAAGCATTTTTATTTGCAGTTCCTTACAGAGTATTGTAGTAGTATTTTAAAAACTAGGGTAAATAAAGAATAATAACTAACACAAGAGGTTTTAATTACCACTAGGGAGGTAATTGAAGTTTTTTTCTGAGGGGACAAAGCTAGACTAGTACCTTATTAAAGAAAATGTGCCAGTCCTTCAGAGACTGGATAATCGTTTTTCATTGTTATGTTTTAGCTCCTAATATTCTAGAAATGGACTGTGTACAGTAATGAAATTTTGGATAGCTCCTAAATGTCACAGATGGTGCAGTGTCTCTATCAACCACCGTCAGATGCAGTGTAAGGTGGCACGTTGCAGTTCTCTATTTGATTCATCTGTCAACAGCTGTCCCATCACAAAATGCTCTGATTTTTTTTTCTAAAGCTAGTAATTTTGCTGTGTGCAGTCACCTGCTGTTGGTAGGGGTTCAACCCACTAGATCAGGTTGTCCAGGGACCAATTTAACCAAGCCTAGGACAATTCCAAGAATGGGACATCCACAATTTCTCTAGACATATTTTTTTCAGTGACTCGCCACCCTCACCCTAAGGAATTTCTTCCTAATATTTAGTCTAAATCCCCTCTATTTTAGTTTAAGGGTGATGTGTTTCAACTTGTCAGTTCCTCTTCAATCTACTTCGTTTTTCAATGTGCCTGAGGGAGTCTCTCTTCAGCTGAATCTGCACCCTTCTGAAAATCTGAATGTGATGTGTCAGTATGTTTTGAATTATGTTAGTTAATGCTCATTGATATTCTGGTAGCTTGATTTTTAATAAGTATACAAAATGTAGTCCCTTGTAAAATGTGAATTATTCCACCTTTTTTAAGTACCTCTTCCCCATTATTTTTATTGCAATACTATGGTTAGTCAGTCATTTGGATGTCATGGTGGGTGTCTGCTTCCTTTAGCAATGTATGGCATTTTTACAGACCCGTGAATGTGGGATTGCTGTGGCTTGCARCTGCCACAGCCTTTGTGTTTAGCTGACAAGGTCCTCGTTACCTGTCTGGCTTTGGCTGGCTGGAGTTATCTTACCATGCCTAGAGATTYGTTCTGATTTATAAAAGCATGGATCTGATGACAAAATAATAAATCTTATCTGCCTTATTATTGCTCTTGCTTGGTTTGTGCAGTTGCGTTATGTAACCCACCTTGGTGTATGTGCTTTGTATTTAACAAATAATTATAACATGTAACTACTCTGTGTAGAGTTAACTACCTATGGCCCTGGACTAAAATGGAACACAGAAGAGTAGTAACCATAACTGGTTATCAAATAGAGTGATCTTAAGAGCAGTTCTAGGGGAGACCTTTTCATATACAGAATGTTCCTTTTGGCCATCTCAACATCTGAATGTAAAAAATCACTGGGAATTCAGGCAACCTGGTCTGGAATTTGGGTATCACACCTCAATAACAGTATGCCTCTTATGATTTTAAGTCCTTTATTCAGGGGGGCCTGGGTTCCTTGCAAAATTAGTGGAGTTTTGAGAGAGCAATCTGAATGCTTATCTGGGAATTGTGTTTTCATTGATTATGTAGAGTCTGTGTGCTCCCAACTGTAGCATTTTTACCAGATTTATCAGTTCTACTTCCCTTTTTGTGTATTCCCTTTTGTTTGGCAACTGTGTCCTCGGTGGCAAATCTGTTAACTTGAAGCCTTGATTTTTGGAGGCTCTTCAGATTTCCTTCCTTGTGCCTCCTTGCTCTGTTTCCGTTCTGGTCAAATTTCGTTCTCTCCTATTTGCTGACCTCTTTACACCATATAACATTTTTAAGTAACTTTTTTATCTATAATCCAGTGTTCTTCAGTTCTCTGAAAAGYGGGAGAATGCATGCCATTTAGGGTCCAAAATGTATTTAAACTATAGGTAAAATGACTASCCTTTGTTTCAAGTGTGTTCACTGAGATTTTCTTGATGCTTTTGGATATATAAAGATGACTCTTCATTTTCCAACATGAATGCAGTGAAATACAGAGTTCTTTATGTTTCTTGCCTTGCCATGAGAASATTCTTCAAATCCTTGACAGGCATTGTTTTTCTCAAGTTAAAACTGTTTAGCCATTGATGAGGTTTTTTGCCATCTTATTTTAGAGTCAAATAAAATTCTTCAAGGAAATCTGAGATATTTGTATTGAAAGAAGATTGGATTTGGGGTCTTCAACGTTTGTTTAGAAAACACTAACTTTACTCAACACCAGGCGGTGTACAATATCTGATTAAAGCTGTTGTGGTTGATAGAATCTGGAGCAATAGCAAATTTTTTTTTTAGGTTTCCAAGGAAACAGTGCAATAGGGGCATATGAAGGCATGATTATACATGTTATGTATAACAATTTTGTAAAATATAGAAGAAGCAAGATTGGAGGTGGGATAAATATCCATATTTATAAGGGTGCTATACCCGGCCTAGTTTTTCCCATATAGTAATGAAAAACCTTTCGCCTGCTCTAACAGAGCCTGAACTTTGCCTGCAGGACTTTGTAACAAACTTCTGTACCAACAGGTAGCCACAGTGTGGTTTGTTTTCTCACATACCCCAATAATAATTTTCACTGTTTCCTAAAGTTTTTCACTGTATAACCATAGAATAAATTCACCTACAAAAATTATTAATGTACATGGCAGTAAACACAGTCCTTAATATAGAATGGGCTTCACTGAATGCTTTTCCTTGTAAGATTTGTTTATATACCCAGCTGGAGATGTGTAGGCGATCTGTTTTTCATGAGAAGRAAGGTTTGGTCAGAGTTTCACGTTCTCTGGAGTTGCCAAAATAATATATTGTAAGTGTAGGTAAGAGGAAAAATATAAAAGTTGTCATGGTAATTAAATATCTGATCCTCAGTAGCCTGGACTGGCAGTACATAGTACGGATTTTTAAGCTCTAATTTTGCAAACCACCAGACTTCAACTAAATTTATTCTGTTCAACAGTAACATGGTTGTAGGGAAAGTTTCTTCCAAAGCCAAAAGGATTGGTGACCTTGTTGTTCAGTCTGTGTTGTGCATGTTATTTGCTTCAGCTAAATCTCGTTGTGACTCTTTCTCTGAGTTGTCTGTTTATCTCCATTTGGTCGGTGTACATGAAGAGTTTGCTTTTATCTTCTTGATCTGTATGTTGACAACGAGATGCTGTAGTAATGTGAAGGTCAGGCAAGATTAATCTTCACAAGCTGTGTCATTCTGACACTTGCCTCAGTGATTATATTTGAAATAACCAAAAGGCATGCCTGCTGCTTTTGTTAATCCCAGCTGTAATGAACTATGCTCTTTGCAATTTATTTATATACTGCATATGTAGTAGAAGAAGTTATGCTTCCTTGTTTCTAGAGGACTAAACCCTTGAAAATTATTATATGGTCACCCTTGCATTTTGCATGGAGGTTCCTGCCTTTTTTGGAGCCTCCTGTGTTTCCAACCAAGGCAGTGATGCACTGGGATGAGACTTCTGCTTTTCACCCATAGCTCAGGACCATTGAATGTGCACCTTTTCTTACATTTCAATGAAGGCAGCATGGTGTTGAAGGGAGGGAAAAACTGAATGGTAGTAAATATTGCTGATTGGAATTTCTCCTAATTGACCTCTTTTTAGTTCTCTTTTTAGTTCTCTTTTTAGTTAAAACGTTAGTGCATCCCTATTGGGATAATTTTGATACATGTCATCATAGTTCAATTACACATCAGCAACAATTAGCTTTTTCATGGGTAGTTGTTTTCAAGTCTTTATTGATTTTTGGTTGTTCGTACCTTTCCCAAATACATTTAAAAATTGAAGTGGCTTGCTATTGCTGTACTTCCTCTGAATTTTCTCTTCTAAAGAATACATGTATAAATGCAAATATATAATTTTTTTTGAGAAGTAGAGATAGCAATAATCTGTTTGAATGTCTTATATTTCGTTGTTTTTCTCTTTATTTTCAGGTTTGGCAGTTTCTCTTCARTTGCTTCATGGAGACATAGAACAAATCAGGAGAGAGTATACATCCAGATTTACCCATGGAGTATCCATAACAAGGAAACTAGGATTTTCCAATATTATAATGCCTGGTAAGTTAAAGAGAAAAATATCTCAATAAGCAATAAAAGAAAGAACTAATGAGAAATTACTAGCTTTTCAGCCACTTTCAAATAAATACTGTATTCTGAAACTTCGTAAGCAGTTCCAGAGACTTATGTCAACGTTTTTTCATAAAGATAGAAGAAAACTGTGTCCCCGTGGCCCCATTACATTTTACATTGGATAGTTACTACGACAGTGTCAAAAGGGCATGTGGCTGTAGCAGCCCTTTTTGAGAGATGGAACCTCACGTTGTAGAAGTGAAGATGACTGAATGCTGAGCTCTGTGCAGGGAAAAAGATATCCAGCAGAACATTTTGTTTATAGGACTGGTAGCTTTCTAAATAAAGACTCACAGAATTTCACTGGTACTGTACAGCTTCTGTTTTCAYGAGTTTTGTGTCTCCAATACTGGAAATGACCTGAAATGGGTAATAATATAGATGTATAGACTTAATTTTACTTATATTGGATGACAAAATATGCAAATACTTGAACAGATGCTGAGGAAGGTAGAAAGTTATATCAGTATGAATGTAAAGAARCAACTATAGGAAGAAGATTGTAAAACTACTTGTAGCTTAATTCCTGAAATGAAATTTTAAAAAATTTAATGGGTTGCTGGAAATTATGAAGCAAATGTCTCTTTAAAGGAAAAGCAGACCAGTTTGGCATGATTACAGTGTTATGTTGCTGCTCAAAAATGTTGCAGGGAGGAGCTCACAGCTTAGTTGCAGCTGAGTCCACGCAGACAGTCTTGACTTTCTCAAATGTAAATCATCCTCATGACTTTCAGATTTTTAATAGAGATTATCTTCTTCGTAGAAAGATATGTCTTTGCATTCCTGTGGATCTAAATCAGAAGTAAACTAAGGTTCTGAGGCAAGAATAAATAAACTTTCATACTTCACTAATCGAGGAGGTCTTAAATAGGCATTTGAAACTCWGTAATGAGGCTCAGCTTTAGCTGTGGGCATGTATTTCTCTTGAACTTCTGCCTGAGACTTAACAACTGAGAATTCACTCATGTACTTACTGCCAATTAAACATCTGTCCTTCTGCAACCTTGATCATCACTACTGGTCACTCAAAATGTGCACATAGCATAAGTTAATGCAACAGTTTCAGTACTGCTATGAAAATACTCTGCTGGTATGAGTGCAGCATTTAGAACAATAAAATGCAAATGTTGGGTGCCATTTAGTCTGAAGTTAGTTTATATATATATATATGTCTAATGGAAGCAATTCACTTGAAATGCTATGGCTTATTAGCCAGGGTTTATTTGTTGTCTTACTGTTGATTTTGAAATTTGAATCAAATGGCTGTTGTAGATAATRTGGCAGGTAACAGGGGAAGCAGTTTTAATGAGCACACTGTAACTCCCATTAAGAATAATTTTTCCAGTTATCTATGATTTAATGACCTGCCGCTCTGTGTTATCAAATTTGGTAAGCTCTATAAATAGATCTTGTATCCCCTCATTTTCCAGTTGAGCAGTAATGTGATGTACTAAACTGCAAAAAACACATTATAGCAGAGTATGGTGTAATCAGCTGCTGGAGGAGTTCTTGACTCCATTTCAAAGCATTGTGCAGGTTCAGTTTGTCACTCTTTTAGTTAAAAAAATAATATATGGGTTGTGGTATGCTACTCTCTCCATCCAGCTGTATGCATGCATCAGTTTAAATAATGTACAACTTCCATGTTTACTGGCATAGAAGGGATTTCTCCTACAGAGAAATAATCATCTCAGTCTTGCAATGATGAGTTTCAAGGTCTAACCAGAGCACTATGCCCTAGGCCCTGAAATGCCCGCAGGAACCTAGCCTTTGAAATGCTTTTTGATTTTAAAGCTCCCCTTTCATTTTGTTTCTTTTCTAGTGGTTTGGTTGGGGTTTTTTTGGCAGATAAATTAGAGAACTTAATCTTTTGCCACTAGAAGTGGTCATTAATTAGAGCTTATTTTATATTTTTGTGAAAAGTAAGTGTGTTGCTGTGGCTAATTAGCACTTAGGTTAGTGTTGTGAACCAGACTCTCTTGAATTATTCAATAAGAAATACTTCATGCTGCTAAACTGCAGTATCTCTCTTATAAATGCCATATTTTAGGTCTCTCTCCTATTCTGGTGTATTTAAACTCTYTCTGACCTTCTTTTTTTGTCATGTCAATCCTTTTCACTGTGGAGGTTAGACTGTGAAAAGTAACTGGGATCAGCATGCATGCCAAACCAGAACTGACAATAATAATGCATGTTTTTTAGAGTAATGCTTTTTGTGTCACTGCAGCCTGACAGGGTGAAGCACCACAATACACTATCCAGGACCCCTGGCATTTTTTAATGGACTCCAAGTGTTTTAGGAGATGGAGTAGATGGCTGGAAAAAAAAAAAAGTAGATTACTATGATTCAAAAAGGCTGTGAAATAGGTAAACTCTTTTATTGACAGGCAGTGAAAATGTCAACTTGTGAATATAATCAGCATGCATTTTCTAGGTTTGACCAGGATTTCAGGGCAGACTCTACATGCAACCACAGGTAAATTCCATTCCAGGATTCTAGTGTGGCTGTCTGCAGATACACAGCCAGTATTCTCAGGCAYTTTGTACAGCATCAAAGGACAATTGTGCTTGCACACTGAGTTCCTGTTTTCACCATTTCCTGACAGCCACATCATTACTTAGTATATAAAACTTAGCATTTGTTATTTACGAATATAGTATACTTTTGAGGAGCACTCTAAATTAAATTTACATACATAATAGGTAATGAAATGTGAGAGCCCTTTTTCTTTTTCTGTACATACTTTTACCAGCTTTTTTGCTATTTTATGTAGTTCACTCTTACAGAATCTCTTTCCAAATTTGACTTAGAGTACCTGTATCAGTGCATAACTTCAGTGCTGTTTATGCTCATGTGTTACAGTATGTGTCCTTTTGCATCTTTGTGGAAGATGTCTAATTCCATAAATAAGCCTGATCTGCTACTGTGTGTTGTCTGGAGTTTTTAGAATTGGAATAAACCCTAGCACAGCTGTTTGTCTAAATGAGGACTTAACTGGCTTAACTCTCTGCCACTCTGCCTAGCGGTTGTAAACAGACTAAACTATTGTGTGGTAGGAGGTGCACATCTTCCTTTGTGGTGCATTCCAGATTGGAGCTGCATCTGCTATTCTTCATTTAGTCTATGCTGTTCTTAACAGTGCTTAGTCTGTTACTGGTAGATTACTGTTAGTCCTTGTCTTAACTCCTTGGCACATTCAAAGACAAAATTTATTCAGTGTGAGACATTACCACATAAAGGAATCTCATCATCTTCCTGCAGAATTTTCACTAAACAGTTCAATTAGGTCCAAGCTTTACTTCCTGCAGTTTTACCTATGAATTTTCTCTATGCAGATTTGTCTATGGTAATAGGATAATTCTTATTTAAACAGCTATGGATTTGATTTTGAAAGGCTGTGTTTTATAGAGGGCAGCAACTTGAAATGTCTTTGTCCATAAAATATTTTTGGGTGTGCACACWATTGGCCGGTTGGCTGACAGCTCAAAAACTCTCACAGGTGGATATCAGCTATAGCCACCCTTTTTTTGGCTGGTGATCTGAACTGTTGCCATTACCACTGCTTCTGTCTGATCACCACGTGCTTTAAGGAWAAAAGTTAATATTTCTTCCTGTCCATCCAAGTTATTAAACTATTATGATATTAGAGGAGGTTAAAACACTGATGCATCACTACAACGATGGTTCTAAAACTACCATGTTTACCTTTTACATAAGTTTAAAGTAGAATCTGTAATGGTATCTAGAGCTGAGCTAGTCAGTCCTGACTGGAGGAGTCTTTGCTCACAATATTTACCCCAGAATTTTTTGGTCCTTTTCTAATTCTGTAATAATTTTTTGCAAATAGCATTGCTAAAGACCCTACAGAAACTGCACTGTTAATTTTTGTAGTGGAATTTTCAATCTTTCAAACTTACTTGTCCAAGATTAAAAGTTGTGTTTTGTTTCTCAATGTTGGGTTTTTTTTTTTATTTTTTCTAATTTCTGCTCATTTAGCAGATAGAATGAGGTACCCAGGATGTTGCTGCACTTAAAAGTTTCCTACATTAGGCTTTCATGTGCTTAATTTAAGAAAAGTAACTGAATTTTTTACCATCACATCTGCATTGCTTTACATTTGTCACYTTTTAACTTCATTAGATGTCTTTTTGCTGTCCAGTTAAATCTCATCAGAATCTTTCCTTCAAAGCTACTGAATATACTAATCATGCCTTCATCTGGATTATTGAAAGGTCTTCTCATGTGCAAGTACACACTCACCAACCTTTCTTACTATTTTCAGAAGCTTTTTAAAATGAAACTAGAAATAGAATCTGTCTTTTTATACAAATGGTCTCACAAAATACAGTCTTCATGATAACATTAATTTTTCAATTATGTGATTTTTGACTAGAGACATTCTTTCTTTCAAAGCATAGAAAAAGAGTCTGGAGAGCAGAATTGTAAAAAAAACTACGGAATATGTTGTTTTTATCGTGGTAAGTATATGTACATGCCAGTGAGCTTGGAGTTAGTAAAGAGTTGTTGTTTCTAGGAGAAGAAATTTAGGTCTGAGACACTTAAACATTTTCCCCCTTGAGTAGTGGAATGAATTTTTCCAAAGTTCTTTATAGTATATAAAGTACAAAGAGTTTGAATTTAATGTCTGCCACTATTTGCTTTTCTGATTTCCAAGAATCCAGAAATAAGTATTTTTTATTGCTGAAAGTAATATTGACTGGATATATTAGTTACACAAAATATGTTTAAGCAATATTGTGGAGTAAAGACACCCTGCGTTTTGACCTTTCACAAAACTGTAGTACTGTAGGGGTAATAACCCTCTGCTTTTCAAATCCTATTTAAATACTTTTTAAAAACTTTAATCCTATCTATTGAAGGAATTAACATTTCTACAAGTCACTAGAGTAAACAAACATATGACATA